CCTGCTGAGATAAGCACAGCCTTTGCTCTAGGAAGAGGGGTGGGGAAATAGGGACAGAAGTACAAGTACAGCAGGATTGTAAGGACAGAGCAGAGCAGAAAATATGCATCCCATTCATGGTGGAGAAATGAATCTCTCAAACGGGGGATCCAGGTGCAAACAGATTTAGAAAAAGATTGCACTGAACATCAGCATTTACAACAAACAGAAAATGGTATGCTCCATTGCTGAGGAAAATATCAAGAACATTATACAGGAAGATGGAAAAATATTCATCTTTAATCCCATGTGGGTGCACACAAGAAAAAGGACAACTGCCCATTTTCACCAAAATCATGAGGTCAAAGACCTGAAACTATGTCTTGTCCATCAAAGTCTCAGTGACATTTTTCATGAAGATTTTTAGAGGATATTCAGAATAAGATAAAACTTTAAAAGAGTAAAAGAAGTGACTCATATTTCAGTTGTTGAGCGTCATCTTGGATACAACAACATTTTCATTTCTCTTACCTTCTTGCTAAGGGGTGAAAAGCATCCCAGAACCATAATTAAATTTGAAGAAATTTACAGGAGTTATACATACAAACCTTTTAACTTCCTTTCCATCAAAATAAAAAAATCCACACTCTAAGAATTTCTGGACTTGAGGTTTAAGCACACTGTGTAGTTTTTCTGCCTTTCCACCTTTAACCATTTGATGATAGTCAAAGTTGACCATTTTGATATCAGCTGAATGTTCAGATGCTTTCAGATGGCTCTGACATCGTAAAAAGAGAAGAAAAATAAATACACTGATGTCTAAATATATAGTAGTATAGCTAAATAAGAGGCTACAAATATTTTTAAAGCTGTTTTATTAGCTATTTTGTTTATTATACACTTTCTCTTAGGTAAAATGAAACAATTTTAATCACTATTCTTCAACAAATCACTCAGAATATATTAATATTTCATCTGTGCTTTTTCTTTTTCTTGTCACAAAGCCAGTTTTTCCCTTTCTATACTAGGGGTCACCGAGACAGTCTACAGCCTCTTCTACTGTTAAAATGCTTTCATTTGCAAAGAGCTGTTTTAGTGGAAACCCCTTTCGCTAACAGTCACCATTTCAGACATACCTGCCAGCTACTGGGACTGAATAAACACTCCTTAAACTACTATTGAAAAAAACAGACAAATTATTCAGGTTGCTGTGGAGGATAGCATGAGCTAAACTTTCCATAATATTCCCTGAAAAATCTTGAAGTGCTCAAACAATCTATGCTCTGCATTGGGCAATGATATGTACCTGGGAGCACTGATGTCTCCTATCAGGACAGTTATGTACAGAAAAGATACCAACCATTATAATCCAAAGGGAAAATGAAAAAGGGAAATAACAGATGGCTATTGACATGTTCTCTGCCTTCAGACAGAACTTGTCAAATTGTCAGTATTTATGGACTACAATGTGACAGTTATTTTTAACCTAACCAGAGGGAATTAATGAAAATGGCCACTTTCAGTTAACATCTTCTGAACATACATCTGTATTTAATCATGAAGTAGCTTTTATGTTTAAATTGATAAATTAACTTGTGATTTTTTTAAAAAAATATTAAGGAATATATCCAGGAATTCCAAGGGAAAGATTTTTAAAAGAAACATCACAATATTCAATACTACAAGTATCACTTATTTCTTCACCAATTCCACAGTGCAAAAAAGATTTTTTTTTTTTGCTACTAAGCATGAAATATGAAAATAATTGAAAATCCCTAAACATTGCCTATGTTGCTGTTACAATTTTTCAGTAAATTAACCAATCTGAACATAAACAAACACTAATTCTACATAGAGCTTTTAAAAATTCATTTTCTGTTATATATCTTAAGCAGTGCTTTTCTGATAAATACAATTTTAACCACAAGTGGTAGCTGCTCCAGAGCATAGCATACCTGTTTCATTTTTCAAAGGCTATATATAAGCATCATTGTGAATAGGAAAATGCCAGGATATGCACAGTGAGAGAACTGTCATACTCACCTGAAAAGCTTTGCTAAGCATGTGCTCCCCTTCTTTTGCCCCAAGTAAATTTACAATAATTTGCTTGCCATATAAATTTTTAAGAGTTTGAAAATGTCTGTTAACAGAAGAAAAATTACACACTCATCTTCTGGAATGTGGAAAATGAACACAAACACCTGCAACACTGACTGAGACGCTGCAGAAATGTACTGGGTACTCTAATAAACTGCTGCAAGCGTCTTACGATGTCATGTCCAAACAAATCAATGTAACTCAATAACAGCATACGACCACTGACTGCTATTTAATTCGGATAATAGCACTGATTTAACAACGTACAGTTACTTAAAACCATAAGGCAGTGAAGCTGGAGAGTCAAGGCAAGAATAAAATGTAAATACAAATTTTACTTTTACGCAGCAGCCAACAAATACAGATCCCTCAATGTAAACATGCTGTAATTTTTGTTTGAAACTTAACACAGTATTTCACTATTTTAAATTTTCTTCAAACTTTTCAACAAAGCACTCAAAGGCACAAGGAATCCAGTAGAAGTTTGAAAAAGCTGCCCAGGCAGTTCACTGCTTTGCTGAATCACACATCTGTACAGACAAAACCTCCCATTTGGAATAACATATCCCATCCCTCTGATGTATCACTTATCAGAGGCTTTACAACAGTGCACTAACAAACAATTTAAGACTTTCACCTGTCAAAAGCTGGTGCATTCGCCTCAAAACCCCTTGACATTCTGACACGATGGGATCCCACCTATGACATGAAGATGAAATTAAAGTTTTAATCTTTGATTAATCATTCTTCAAAGACCTCTTTTGATCCTAAACACAGCCTAAAAATTCACTTCACTTTCTAAATGAAATCTCCAAAATTTATTCTGCGTGCTATGGTGTGCATTCTTTTATAGGTTTTTCCTAAATTCCTCTTTTTTCTATTTTTTAAAAATTTAATATACTTAGTCATATAACCTTATTACTTCTTGTTCTGAATAAAAGGCACGTAAATGTTTCAGCAGTTCTATTGCAAAATCCTTGTATGTCTAGTTTAAAGAACCTAGAGTCACTGTGAGGAATTAACTTTTTTTTTAATCTTCTCTGTAAAAACTGTATCACAGTAGTAGTTGCTGATACAATCCCTCTTTCAAGAAAGCAGAGATAAAATTATATTACAGTAACTCTTGATCCATAGTGACTTCTTGAAAAGACTTATCCTCAAGAACAATTCAGAAGAAAACAGTCTCTTTGGATATGCTCAGATAACCTATTTAGAAATAGCAATTTAAATCAAAACAGAAAAACTCAGAACTTCAAAGAAAAAACATCTAAAAAGCAATGGACATCCAAATCTTGTGCAAAACAGCATTCAGAGAGTTGAGAGTAACAGGCTTGGTGAATTAAACAAATAGCATCAAGTTGCTCCCAAAAGATAAATCTCGTCCTGACAGGTAACTGTGCAGAAGAGCCTAAATATTACTGCAGGATGTTAAAAAGACATTATCACTATAATTAAATATATCTCCTGCTTACCTGCAGGCCTGGCTGTTCCCAAAATAATGGAACAGATCCTCGAATCTGTATGAAAGATGACACAGAGTCATCTAAATATATCACCTGTTAAGAAAAAAAAAGCATAGTATTAATAGGTATTAGAGTGTAAGGTTTTAGATTTCTTAGCCTTAGTTGAACATAGAGTGAATAAAATATATTTACATAAAACACACTGCAAGCTGAAATATTAATTGTGCTCCCTAGACTTTTCTCTCTACCCCTTCTGAACAGTTCATACAAGAAAGTCTGGCACTCTCACGCTTCCTTGCAGAATCATGATTCACAACATCTAAGAAAATACAGCAAGCTTTTATTCTTTGGGCCTGAGTGATTTCTGTGCCAAGAGTAACTTGTTTTAAAAAACTTGGTAAGGCCTCCCTGTAGGAACAGTTAAGATGTACACCAATGCACACAAAATAACAACGTAGCCTACTCACAACACTTGCACAGATTTTGTGCATCAATCCAAAACACAATGCCCTATTAAGTATACAGGAAAGGAAACTTTAAGTGGAATGATATGCCACAGTTATCTAGTGACTTTAGCCTGCCAGGAAACTTGGACAGAGAAACTGTAATAACAGTGTTCTGACTAACCTCCTGAAATTGGATGTGTACAAGCAGATCCTTTCCTGGATAAAATCCTTCTGAGGTCACCCAGGCTTTGCAAAGAGTCAGTGAGTCAATCAAAGATACCTACTCACATGAATACAGTTGCAGGAACAACATCTTGGTAACTAGGTTATTGTAAGAAGTGAGCAAAGAAAGGCCAACAAAGAATGATTTAATAGCTTCTTGCATTTCTGTATAATAAGGGCAAAGATATGCAATCAAATGCAGCAGAATTACAGTAGCTTTAAAAATTACCTTTCAGAGGAGCTGTGTTAAGCAACAATAGGAATCCTTTTCTCTTTCCTGAACCACAAGGTACCATGTATTTGCCAAAAATCTCTTTTGCTTATTTCTAAAGTCTTTACTTTTAGCTCAGGCCAAAAGAAGTACACACTCACCCACAGCTCAGGAGGCTAAAAGCCTCACTGATGGCTAACAGCTTCTTAACCTATTGAAACGCATCCCCTCTTACCCTAAACTACGCTAAAAACCAAGATCATCAAATTATGCAACCTACTTAGATTCCTTATTTAGCAGTAAAAGAACTCTTCTAATAACTGTTGGTTACAGACTTGACTTGTGATCTGTTGATTCAGGGCAAAAGCTCCCCACACGCAGGGTTATCTCGAGTTCACCAGCCAAGCCGTGTGCACTGCAGCCCAACTCACCTGCTCCGTTTCGACAAAATTCGCAACGTGACCATCATCGTTTGTTCCCCGGACGTTAAATCTGGTGCCAGCCCTTTCACAGCTCAGTCGTGAAATGAGACAAGCCTTTGCCTGCTTGTGAGCCGCATAAATTGTCCTTATCTCCACTCCTCCACACATGAGACGTAACAACCAGTCATCACAGTTTACACCGTAGTGCTTCAGATGTAAATGCAGTGACTGGTTCCTATCAGGGGAAAAAAAAAATAAATAAATAACTTACAGATCAAATTGTTAATCCACTACTAACTTCTTATATTTTATGCCCACTACTACAAATAAGAAAAGGAAAATATACGTGTTATAGTTTTATGACATAACTCTTATCTAAATGTACGTAAAATAGCAAAGTTTACAAGAGAACAGCTTAAACATTTGCACAATAAGGATACAGAGTGAAGCCATGAATTTTAATGACCTTAAAAAAAAAAAAAACCTCATATAGTCTCTGCTCTTCACCCAGCAAAAAGCAACCCTCCAAGCTCGTTTATACTTCTCCACTCAGCCTTGCTTTGAGAAGCCAAAGATCACAGACTCTGGGAAAAGTAAGCTGGGATTCCAATTACAGGGTTACTTTTTGTGATGGGTAAAACACCATTCAACTTCACAACACCATAACAGAAAGCTAGAAAAAAAAATTTGTCAACATACATTCATTATTTCTACTATACATCACCAGACAAGCTGCCAGGAATACATTCATAGCCAACTGATTTTCAAATCTATGTAATTATCAATTTCAGGGTTAAGTGTTGGTACATTATATTCTGCACATACCATTCTCTAATACTAATTACTGCTGAAGTAAAAGAAAGATCCACACCTGTGCATTAAGTAGTACTAATCAACACTGTAGTAAGTAAGAAAGACTAAAGTTTGGGTTATGTCAGTTTTTCTGGTTTACCTCACTCTAGCGGGGCTTGACTTTTGACCTTGTTTGGAAACACTGACTTGTATAGAAAGGTAGGAAAGTTTTCTGCATAGCAAAGTCCTATGGCTCTACTTACTCCAGCAAGATGGCTGCTTTTGTCATCACTCAGAAAACTCTACCATAATTTGGTAAAAAGGTTGAAGCTATTAACTTTTAATTTTAGCCTTTCATTCTAAACTTCCAATTTAAAAAAAAACCCAAACCTGCCTCCCTGCAACTTATCAAACACCTCAGTTCAGTCACTAGTAAAGACATAAATTCCATGAAACAAGTATGCAATCACTTCACAGAAAAGTATACAGATGCATTACAACAGGAGACTGAGAAAGCAAACAATATTCCCTCCCTGGGCAATCTGAGACTGGAACTTTTGAACAGAAAAAGCCCAAGAAAGCTTACTGAAGTGCACAAGCAGAATACTTTCTGTTATCGACTTTTAGAGTCTTCTAGATCTTGGAATCTGGGACATTCTATCTACCTCCTGTGAGGATTGATTCTTACTGAAAAAAAGCCAGCTAACTTAAGAAGTTTTAAGACAGGGGTCAAAATCAGCCAAGCATATCTGGACAGGGTCAACAGGCACCATCATTTCTCAAGCCCTGAAATACTGACTTATCAACAGAGAGCCCAGTCTTTTTCCAGATGCAGAGAGAGACAAACAGCGTGGTTCCTATAAACCTACATTAAGGTAGGAATGTTTCTGAAGACTAGAGCTTATTTTCTGTCTTAATACTCATATTTTGTCTTATATAGCAATCTGATCACATTCTTCTATCTGACCAAAATAGGGGCAAAGAGTAGAGTAGCACTGGCACATGCCAATTTAAAATTTAAAAAATTGACACAGCTGATGAAGAACTAAGAGGCATCAAACCTGAAATACAACATCACGACAACGACTGTTCAGATCAAAGTATAATATCACAAGCAGTGAAAATCTGTGTCTTACAAGAAACTCCAAGTGGCTGTGGAAATGTTGCACCATTAATTTGTAGAGGAATGCGTTATTCTATAGGAAGTCTGATAAAATGCATTATGAACTCACCAGAAAAACCTATTGTCAGTGGTGTGCTCCTGCATGCTGCGGTGAGCATTGAGACTAAGATCTAAACTGACACCAGTTGCAGACCATGCAAAATAAAAGTTTCCCGAGTTCAAAACTTTGCGCACTTCAGAAATACGATCCTCGTCTGTTGAATCCATTCGTAACGACACAAATTCAGTGGAAGTAACTCGAAAAACTTCAGAGTCTTGAATCTTTCCCACAGACATGCATCCTGTTACTAGAACCAGATAATGTAACAATGTGTCTCCTGCAAAAGAAGAAAAGGCACTGGTAACAGAATGAACCTCAGTGGAGTGTGGTGTTGATGTATTTATATGTTTTAAAGCACACAATCTGACCCTAGTTTGCCTGAAAAAAAGTACAAAAAGAACCAACATTAAGAACTCATTCTCCAGTTCTACAGAAGAAAAGGAAATGCAAACAAGAAACTATGTTGCAAATAATAGGGATTGTGAAAACGGAAGTTATTTTTGTCCACTCCCTCATTTCTGAGAGTGCTCCAAACTTGCAAGCTAGTCTATAAAGACAAAAAGTAAAACCAAAAAAGAGCCCAGTTCCTGTTGCGAAGATCCTGTGCTGTGCAGTTTTACAGGAGCAGCTCAGTTTTCTTTCTCAAATGAAAAATCAAGGTTTTAGATATTGTACTCACCAAGGTTTAATCTTAATACACCCAAGAGCCCATATGCATCCATTACTTTGGAGTAGGTATTCTTGATTGTGTCTTTTTCTGCAGAAGCTATAGAGAGAAAACAGAAGATTTTATGATGTATAAGACCATACACTATGGCAGGGAGAATGAGTCCACTCTAAATCAAAAATCCAAGAGATTACAGCAGTAGAGATCACATTAAACTCCTGGAAAGCAATCATAATGTATGAGCATATGGCATTTTATAACTGAAAATTAGTATTTGATTTTATGACAAAGTATGATCACACTATGTTTTTAGGCAACAAGAAAAAGACTTGCAAAAACTCCAAGTGAGATTAAAGAACGTTGGCATTTTTAACATCATCATCTCCTAATATAAAAAGCAGCTAAAACATAGGTAAATGAGTTCCATGAGAATGCCCTCCTGTAATTAGTTAAAAGTGCTAAATGCTGCTTTTTTTTCCTGAAAAAGTTTATCCTTCTTCTCAAAGAATAAAACCATGATGTGGCAGTATTATTTCCAGATAAGTAAACAAGATTATCACAAGTACTTTTTAACTAGTTTTAGGTATTTTCCAAGCAAATCAAAAATCTTGCAGCCCCACAAGACACTGGTATTTAAAAGCTATGTCTTAGATTAGGAAAACACAGTTTTTATCACCAATTTTTGAAAAAAAAACCCCAACAAACCAAACCAAAAAAACCCACATAATATTTTAGAATAAATTAAAGTATATCTACCATTATTCACCTGGGAGTTAATGTTAGTGTACACTTTAGAAATTCAATCAGCAACTGAAAAACCAGGCCCACAAGCTTGACTGCAGAGCCAGGTGACAGAGAAGTTGCAGAGCAGAAACCAGATCCCACCTGTCCTGAGCTTGAGCTCACGACTGAGACTGCACCTGAAGCGCAAAGACTGACAATTCCAGCTGAGCCACTGGATCCACTGGGATCGAGATTTCTGTGTCACCAAGGATCAGCACCTTCTTCCTCCTCAGAAATAATATGCTAATTAATTTTCACTTTGACACAAAAAAAAAATCAGAATTTGACATAAAGAAAAGCATAAATCAAAATGCCTCTTGCATTCTCTCTCACGAGCTGTATTTTCTTTAGAATTGCTGTTATGAATCTTTCTAGTGAGTATTCCCTAAGTTTACCATAGCCCTGCCTGTACACAAGTCTGTCCCTTCTGTTCAAATGTCTATCAGCTCTAATATTAAAGTGGATCAGAAATTCCAGTATAGATGAAACAATCATTTAATCTCAGTCTGAAATCTAAGATCATTCAACATTTCATTTTTAAAAAGCTTAACTATTTGCACTGATATGCTGTACTCCTGTATCCCATATGCTAAACATAGGAGAGCTACAGCAGCATGAGTATTTCCAAAGTCCTCACCCACAGTAAGTGTTAAGACTCACAGACAATCTAAATACATTGTTTACAGAGAGTGGTTTTGTCACCATCACCAAACCATGTTTTTCTTAACCAGACCACTATCAGGCTGGAAAGAACAACTTCTAAACTTCAAAACCTGGTTCTTTTAATCCATTTTTCCAGCAAACATTTAATGATGTCAATGTACTCTTCTAAACTCAACTTTTGGTAACCAGAGAACTGCCACGTGCCTCTTTCACAATACAAATTATTAATGAAAGATGAGGTTTAGCTTCAAACTTTTTGCAGGGTTTTTCTTAAAGGTGTCTGCCAGCATTTAATGACATTTCAGAGCAATGGCTTTTTTTGTCTTCTATGGACTTTCTCCTCTTTTTCCATTGCATGGAATGCTCATCATCCTTACTAAGCCTTAATAAGTAAATGCTTGAAGTAAATTAAGCAACACAGGCTTTGCAAATTCAGATCAACAAAAAAGGCCACTGCTAATAAAGCAGTAAAGGGTTGCAAAAAAAAAAAAAAAATTGAAAGAGAAAAACCTACTGTGGCCAGTCAATCATTATTTTCTTAACAAGCACTAACCAAAGCACTGCACACCATGTTTTTCAATTACATTACATCTAATACAGTGTGAACTCAGCACAAAGCATTTGCAGAGTGACCATATAAGTATTTCTATCTTGCACTGCCTGCGCTTTTCCCATCCTATTTTTTTTTTTAAGGTCAAAATTCACATGGGAAAACAGCAAACGTTGCACACCTCATCCATCACTTCACCCATCTTGCCCTGGCCCATCCTCACCCACCCCCAGGTTTCAGCCCCTGCCTCTGCAGAACCTGAGTCTAGGCACAAGGTACATTTAACAGGCCCCGCAGCAGGCAGGCAGGACACAGAAGAGCTTATCTGCAACACCCTCCTCCCACCTTCACAGAAGGCACATCATGCCTACTATGAGTTACAACTTTATAACATAAATTTGTGAGGCAGATTCCCTTTCATTGAGAACACCCATTAGAACCTCTAGCCATCAGTGTTTATGAAACCTGAAAGAAATACGAGATTTAGAGATGATGATATTAGCCAATACAGAGGGATAAAAGATGGTTATCACATAAACCTCCTTTTCCTTAAGAAACCAAGTTAAAAAGAAAGCAGTCACAGAAGTAGCACTGATAGCAGAGAAGGGAGCAACTCCAGAGAGCACAGTGCTGCCTCTTCCCGGCCACAGCAGCACCCAGCCACGCTCCGCAGGGATGTTTGGGATGGCTGACTAGAGCAGGGCTCAGGCTGCTGTCAGGGTGATGCTCAACGAGGGATTCCCACCATCAGGAGTGCTACGATCCAAGGAACAAGGGGCAGGACAAGAGGAAATGGCCTCAAGTTGCATCAAGGGAAGTTTAGATTGGATATTAGGAAGGATTTCTTTACTGAAAGGGTTCTCAGCCTTTCAGGGTTGCCCAGGGCAGTGGTGGAGTCTCCATCCCAGGAGGGATTATTTAATACGAGTTGTGTAGACGTCGTGCTTAGGGACATGGTTTAGTTGAGGACTTGTCAGTGTGAGGTTAATGATTGGACTTGATGATCTAAAAGGTCTTTTCCAATCTAGGCAATTCTGCGATCCTGTGATATTAAGGAAAGGCACTTGGGTTTTCTGAACACCCAGCTGAAATCAAGAACAAGACACAGCTACACCACACTACTTTCCATTTTCTTCCATTTGAACTGTTGGGACATGGTGGGGACCAGCATCCCCCTGGGTTCAGGGCACTGGTAGCTATGGGGGTTCCCCTAGGGAGGCAGGGCAGATGAGGGGCAGCCCCCTCTGTGGGGGTGGGCTGAGGCCAGGCCAGGATGTCAGTTTGTGGGCAAGGGTCAGGCCTTGTGAAGGCCAGATACAAGTCCCAGGATGGCCAGGTAGGCCACAGGGACAGGGACAGGCCAAGGCTGGGACACCAGCCGAGCTCAGCAGGGCCCATGTCTAGGCTGGGCAGGGCTGTGGAGAGCCGAGACAAGCACTATGCTGCAGCATGGCTGAGGCAGCGACTGACAGCCCTGAGGGGACTGAAAAGGGGTCCCAGGCTGTGGGTCGGGCGGGGGAAGCCCCAGGGCAGGTGGGCAGGGAGAGTTTAATCTGTTACTGACTGCCACTGCATATGGCATTTCCCACTTTTGAAGATACCAAAATTAAATTTGCAAGTTTTTGTATCGTTCCATACCAGATAACATGAATAACAACCTAAGTGCTCTAGAACCATCCAGATTTTCCCCATAAGTATCATATTTAACTCTTCTTTCTTCACCAAAGCAGTAAGCTTCACAAAGATCTATGTTCTCTCATTTCCTTCAGCACGTGAAGTCATCGAATACAGCTGGATAGGCAAGAGCCACTGCAGTTACAAAAATACACGGCTAAGCCCCCATCACTGTAGTATCTATAGTATTCAGTGTATGCAAAGCCAACTTCCAGTTTCCTCTATGAATAGCTGAAATTACCAGCTGGGAGAACTGCAGCTTAGAAATTAAACCACAGGAATGCTAAGGTAATCCTGACAGAAGGAGAGAGCATTTCCAAGAGCATTTCCTCAGTAACATTCTTAATGAATGAGAATATCTCTTCCTAGAATGGTAGGTTGGCTTTCAGCCATGAGAACCCTTTGACTTTGATTTATGACCTCCGTATCTTGAAAAAAATGCAGCTAATATAAATATGCACTCAGAAAAACATAAGGTCCTACAAATTAATGAACCTACTTCTCCTTGAGAAATCAACTTCTCTATTTATTAATCTTTAATAGCTGGAAGTAAGCAAACACAATTAAGGCTGCATGAAAAATATACAGAACACTGTCACTAAGAAGAACGAATTAAGACATGCAACTTCTAAAGACAGAAATTACAAGCTGGAATTACAACTTTCATCCATAACACTGGACTTAACATATTTTAAATTAAACTGTGGAGGAGCACTAAACAGTAGGTAATGCAAGCATAAATTCATCTGTGTATAAAGACAGACACAAAACATTACGAGGCAGTATTTCTTCTCTTACTCTGTGTCAGTTCAGACGTTAAGCAGAAAGGAAATTAAAAGCAGTTTCTGCTTAACCCACTACATTAATTAGATTCAAGCTGATTAATTTCTAACACAGAAATAATGACTCGCTACTTAGTGGTACCAAAAAAAACCCAAAAACCAAGCCACCAACCACAACACTTTTAATGTGGTTTTCAGGTCAAGTTGTAATGCATTCTTGTAGAAAGTCAGCAAGCATCATTTGCAGAGTCACGAGAAAAAGAATAAAATAATTTAAAGCTAATCTTTATTAAAACTTAATAGGTCATTTATTTTCCAAGGTTAACATCTCATTTGTTCCAAGTTAAATCACGAGTATGCATCTGTAATAATCACAGCTTATCAACCACTAACTCGTTTAAGAAAGGTGACTGATTAAATTATTTTAAGGGTATTATGTCGGCCCTCTTACTGTTACGCAAATGGAACCCCATTAAAAAGCCTGTCTTCAGGACAACTTGGTTGAACGTGTATTCTGCTTAATTTCAGATTAGAAATTATTTTTGCAATTTTAAAAATTACAAAGTTAAGATCATGTTAAAAAGTTATAATTTAGGCTTTCTACAGTTATGTTTTCTTCTTGGTGGGTTCACAAGGTGCCACGACAA